TTCTCATCTGTCATCTTGGTGATGAATTAACTGAGGGGAGGGTTGTGAGCTTCTCAGAAAAGAGGGAGAGGAAGAATAAAATGTATTGACAGAAGGACAAACAGAAGGGACCCGTGGTGCCCTTTCCGGAGCCCAGAGAATCAGAAAGGTCCTTGGCACAGAGCCTAACAGCCCTCAATTCCTCCCCCCCGTGCACACCTTGCCTTAAGAATGCCCCTCTACAGAGTAGCTGTTTCAAAGTCCTCCCAGAAGTCCCCAGGGCCACATCACTTAGATCCTGTGCTGGTCATGCCCTGTCCACGCATGGGCAGCCTGAGAGCTATGGTCCTCACCCAGGAGGGGCCTGCAGCGGGGACATCCTATGTTTGTACATGGGCAGCATTTATGTGGGGTCCTGTGCACACTCCCAGTGAAGTGGGCCCCAGACCCGATGTGTGCAAAGCACCTGGGGCAGAGGCAGGATTCACTCCAAAGGGGTCAGGGAATGGAGGGGGAAGGGCAGAACTGCTCTATGCCTTGACTGTGGTGGCATAGAGCACATGTTTGTCAAAACTCACAAAACTATATATTAGAAAGAGTGAACCCTGGATGGTTGCTCGCTCAGTGGTTAGAGTGTTGGCCTGCAGACCAAAGGGTCATGGGTTCAATTTCCAATCAAGGGCATGTATCTTGGTTGTAGGCTCAATCCCTGGCCCTGGTCTGGGTGTGAACTGGAGGCAACCAATTGATGTGTCTCAGCTCTCGCTCTCTTTCTCTCTCTCTCTCTCTCTCTCTCTCTCTCTCTCTCTCTCTCATTTTCCTTTCCTCTCCTCTTCGCTCCCCTCCATTCTCTCTAAAAAGTCAATGTAAAAAAATATCCTCCAGTGATGATTAAAAAAAAAAAAGTAAATTTTATCTTAAAAACTCAATTATATAAAAACTGAAATGGTATTATGAATTTAAAAAATTAGGCTGGAACACTAAGCATAACCTGGACCTGCTCTGGACAAAGAGAGACATATCTTCACTATTATCTAACACACAATTTTGTACATAACAGATAATCAATAATTGTGTCAATTGGGAAAAAAGGCACTTGGAGATGAGTGTTAACACGCAGATTCCTAGGCCCCCACTTTCTGTGTGTCTGGGGCAGGACTCAGGGGTCAGCATTTGTCAGGAGTTCCTGGTGGCCCGCAATCTCGAGGACCACACCAGGGATGCTGGGGGAAGCCCTAGGGCTCTCAGTACTATTCTCCCTGTTGACCACCCTCAATCACTTACCATAGCCAATTGCCTGATTGTCCATCAAACATGGAGTATGCATCCCCCCCACTTCCTCTCCTTTGCTCTGACATTCTATTGCCTAGCACTGGCTCTATGCTTGCTCAGTTCTTTCTACCATGGCCGGCTACGGGCTAGAGAACATTTGGGGCTCGAGGACTGGAGAGCAGAGGGCACAAGTTCAGGAGTCAGAGAGCTTGAGTTTGAAGAGTGGGACGGAACACACTACATGAGTCTCGCACCAGTAAAAGGGAGAGTCGCTACCTACATGACTGCACTGAATTTGTCACTAAAATAGAAATGGGTTTATCAATAGCAACATTTTTGGTTCCCTGCCTCAACCCAGCCAGGCCTCTGGCCTGAGTGCTCAGAGCTGTCTGTAGGCAGACTCTGACCTGTGGCACTGGATCTCACTGCAGCCTGTCACAGGGCAGGGCCCTCAGGCAAACAGCTCAGCTTAGAGCAGCCCCAGAGCCGTCAGAAGTGTTAAGGGGCCAGGAAGATGCTCCATGCCCCAAAGCCCCTCAGGGAAGCATTGCCCACCCATTTCTCTCAATTTGATCTTTGCCACCAAGCGAAATCAGGAGCAGTGGATGGGGAGGGTAAGGGCTCGGCTGAGAGAGAACACAGGGAGGGGCTGCCAAGAAGCCATTGCCATGGCCTCTACCCCTGTGGGGCGACCTTGGCTGCTCCAGCTTGGGGACCCACCTGACCTGGGCCCAGGATGGCAGCAGCCTGGAGTGGGGTGAGGAGCTGTCGCATCCTTGAACAAGACTCTACTGTAAATGGGGTCAAGCTGACAGCAAAGGTCCTTGATATCCTATTTTTAAATGACAGTTAGGTTCAAAAAAGAAATGAGTGTTTGTCTAATCCAAATTAGTAACCAGTCCAAACCAAGGCTGGTCATAACTCCTGGCATACAATCGCCAGCGAACAGGCTCTCTGAATGGCTGGGAACCATTTCCATCTTGTTGACAAACACACGTTACAAGACAGAAAATTACCCTCTTCAGTGCCCATTTTATCTCTGTTTAATTGCTGTTTGACAATAAATTACAACAGAGTCCATTAATTAAGCTAACAATGTCCATGGAACACCAATTCCTTCTTCTGGGAGTTGCCTTATTACAGAGCTTTGAATTAGTCTCCATGAACCCACAGCACTTTATGAAGCAGTTTAAAAAGATGCCAACGCACGTGACTGGTGGGGAATGACTCCTGGTGTAGAGGGAGCTGTTAGGAGGAAGAGGAGAAACCTTGACGAGCCAGGGGAGGGGCAGCCTGGTGGCTGGAGGGGAGTTCCCACTCTAATTCTGAACGCGCGATAGACCAAAACACACCATTAGACTTACTTTACTGGTAAAGTATTGCTCAGCCTGTGTGGTTCAGTGGTTGAGCATTGACCTATGAACCAGGAGGTCAGAGTTCAATTCCCAGTCAGGACACATGCCAGAGTTGTAGGCCAGATCCTCAGGGTGGGGTGTGCAGGAGACGGCCAATCAATGATTCTCTCTCATTGATGTTTCTCTCTCTCCCTTCCTCTCTGAAATCAATAAAAAGATTTTTTTTAAAGCAGTTGATGGAAAACAACCATAGCCAACTTATAGTATGCATCCTAGAACTGTAGGCAGCAACGAGCAGCCTAATTTGGTCTGCCAGTCCATCTTCAGCTACATGGCAAGAGCATCCATCTCTCTCTGGACTTCTCCGGGTCTCTGTACTTAGTCTGAACATGCCATTCCCCAACATGAACCCTTCTGTGTCTCTCCATTGCTCTCAGGGTCAAGTCCCAGCATCCCTTGCACCATCTGGGAACTTCTTAGAAATACAAAACCTCAGGCCCTAACCCAACCTCCTAACTCAGAAACTCTGGGGGTGGGGCCCGGTAGTGGATGCTTCCAGGTGGTTCCCTGGCACATTGACATGTGGGCACCTGTGCTGTGGAGCATGATCAGGCCACTACAGATCTGCCTCTGCACCTCCCTTCTCTCAGCACTTCTTTCCTTTTTGCATTCTAAGCCCTGGGCAAAGAGGGCACCTCTGTCCTCCAACACCCAGCACCCTGAGCTATCTTGCTCCTTCCACACTTACTATGCTGTAGGTTTCCTGCCTCTTTACTTGTCTCCGCCGATCAAGTGTAAACCACTTGAGAACAGGGTGGGTATCTTATCAGCTACCAAATGCAATTGTGACTAGCACCCGCAGGAGGTGATCAAGATGTATCTGTTGAGAGAATGAGTGAATGAATGGATGAAGACACTCTGGCTTCTTTAGCCCCTGCTGCCTTTGATGCCAAAACCCCATTTCCCAATGGGAGGAGCCCATCTACTCAGTCATTCTTCTGCACCCCACGGCACTTTTAGCCAATTGTCAATTCTGGCAGGGCCCAGTAATCAATCTTGAATTAAATAGATTAGATTTGAACTTAAAATGCTTTGGTTGTGCTGGACTCTGCTAGGTGACACAATGCTGAAGAGCCTAAGACCATTGGAAAACACAGACATTTACATTATGATTCATTATCAGTAGCAAAATTAGAGTTATGAAGTAGCAACGAAAATAATTTTATGGTTGGGAGTCACCACAGCATGAGGAACTGTATTAAAGGATTGTGACATTAGGAAGGTTGAGAACCACTGTGCTAGAAGGCCTGGATTCTAGCCTGCTTTGCTAACAGGCACTTGCCCCTCCATGCTTCAGTTTCCTTATGCTGTCTGCTACTTCCCAGAGCGGTTGCAAGGACCAAAGGATTCAGGATTTGACCTGTCTGGCATTTCTCCTTTGGGGGACCCATCATCTTGAAGGACCAAGGGTCTGGACTATGAGAACTGCCTGTGGTGATGGCAGAGGGAACACCACTTTTCTTCCCAGGTCCTGGCTTAGCGGGAAACAAAGTTCTCCGAGCAGACAAAGCTGTGAGCCTTTATGAATGCATGCATGAGTACGGTGTATGAATGTAAATTTGCATGTGAACAGGTGCGTTCATAGGACATGAGAGAGACAGAAGAAGGTCTCAGGGTACTTTGTCCAGGGTCTTCCTTTCACAGGACAATCTGCGAGTCTGGCTTTGAACCAAACATGTAGTACTCCTCTGGAATTGAATAATAAATGTTTTCCCAATTGGTAGCTTGCCTTTTATTGCTATTGATTGACATAAAAATGTTTTAAATTTTTATGAATGGCAAGTGGAATGACATTTTTCGATATGCTTACTCCCAATCTTCAAGAATTTCTGCCAAGCGCTCGTGTGCGCGTGCTTAGCAGAAATTCTTGTTTTCACTTTGTTGGTTGATCATTCTGTCCTTTTTGAGTTACCTTGTGTGTTCTAATGAGAGATCCAAGAACACATGTTCTCTGAAATGTACTGCAAGCACTTTCCTCCTTCCCAGTCAGCACCTGGCTCTCGCACCAACACTACAGACCAGGTCATTCTTCCGATCAAACTGATGGTGGCCTCCCAGGGTGGACATGTCCATCAGGTTTTCACCAGGGAATCTGCTAACCCTTTCTTTGAAGGTGTAAGCAAGTTTTTGTATATAATTACAATACATACACTTCTCTATTAGCAAATGATCCTCCAGTACGGCCCATGCCCACCACTTGTGAACTTCACAGAGAAACAACCAGAACTCTCCCCACAGAACAGGTGACAACCACCTAGGTAGAAGACACAGAAGTCCCACAAATCCCCTGTGGGCCGCTGAGTTTACTCTTTTCCTGGTCAGGGATGCTCCTACCTGGGGTCCCCAGCCGTGGCATGGGTACAGTATTGCTGTGTGGTTCTCTGGTGGCCCCTGGTCCAAGCAGACATCTTTTGCCTTGTTGTTGCGAAGCTGCAGGAATAAGAAAAACATCATCCATCAGAGCTCATCCTTCAGAGGATGCTGTGGGCACCAATCCTATGTCTATGACCTTCACCCACATGGCTCCCCAGCCCCAGCATGAAAAAGGATCTCAGGAAACATTTGGACAAAGAAACACTGGTCAGACATTGGTTTTCCAAAGTGAGCTTCAGCACCAATGCTGGTTTTAATAACATTAGGAATCACAGGACAGCTTCTCAGTTCATTACTGACAGAGAGGCATGGAAAACAGTCATCAAAAAGCAAACAAAGGCCTTTCCATCATGCAGAACTTTAGCAATATTTATTTATTTATTCAAAAAATATCGACTGAATGCATACAGCAGGCCAGGCACCAAGTGTTCAGAGTGCACCTTCAAAGGAACAGACAAAAGTCCCCTAATTTGGCCCTCCAGGTGCACTGTGTTCTATGTGGGTGTCCATCCCACCCAGCACCCTGCAATCTCAACCAGCGGGAAAACAGCAATGCTGGCCTTCTCCATGTACACGGTCCCATCCAGATTATGCTCTCCATGGAAACCAAACTAACTGGGTAAATCAAGAAGAAGGTTTCAGAGATGGAGGAGAGGTGGCTCCTGAGCTAAATGCTAAAAAGGACAGTTGGAATGATGCCGGCAATATTCTGTTTTTTAGCCAGATGATAGCTATGTGGACATTTGCTTTATATTGTTACATTGCATATGTATACTTTATGCTCACTGTATATGTGTTATATTTCATATGATAATGCCTAAAGGAAAAAAAAGAAGTGCAAAAGTGAACTAGGGGCTAGGGTAGTCCAGGCCATGAGGGTAGTATGGACCAACCGCAGTATTTTGAGCAGAGGAGTTTTGTGCACACTGACATCTTTTGCATGTAGGAAGGCAGTGTCTCATGCATGCAAAAGTCAGGATATAAAGCATACACATACCTTTCTTTTAAAATTATTTTAAGACATTCTAGATAACATAGATAAAAATATTTTAAAATTAATGAAAAGTGAATTATTGCTTAAGTAAGCCTGGACACTGGCACTGGATGTCCAGTGAGGCAGGAATGCCAGAGGTGACATCTGCTCAAAGGGGTGTGTCTCCCTTCGTCACTGGCTGGGGTCTGGTGTGGTGATAAGAACTACTAGTAGTAAGCTTTAAATTACACTTGTCTGAATATTGGTAAATTTTGTCACTGAACTGAATTTGACTACAAAGTTATTCTTAAAGAAATGTATAAAATGCAAGTAGCCCAGCTGGTGTGACTCAGGGAGTGAGTGTCAATCTATGAACCAGGAGGTCACGGTTTGATTCCTGATCAGGGCACATGCCCAGGTTGCAGGCTCCATCCCCAGTGGGGAAAGTACAGGAGGCAGCAAAAGGTTTTCTCTTATCATTGATGTCTCTACCTTTCTTTCCCTTCCTCTCTGAAATCAGTAAAAACATATTTTAAAAAATAGTGGTATCTAAATAATGGTAGTTTTTTTACAAACTAAATTTGGTCAGTGTGACTTTTTTCATTGAATGCAATAGTACATCTGAAACACATTTCAGTTAATGGTGAGCTCAGCAAACAGAAGATGCTGAAAACATTAACAATGCCTGGGAATTGGAGTAAGTTTTGTTTTCATCTTTATATTTTCTACAAAATGTATTTATTAAATGTATTACTTAGAAGAGGATATTTTTGCATAAGTAAGACGTCCTCCCCACCCCAAGATCAACAACTATCTCCAAGGCCATCCCCCTTGTTGGGCTCCAGAGACATCATTTCCTCTGCCCTGGCCATCTTCCCGCATTTTCCCATTTTTATTCTTCCTTTGTTAGTACTATTTTGTTCTTCTAATTATAATATTACACGTAAACACTAGTGATATCTGGGAGACATGAAAAAGTCCCCACACAAAACCTGCCTGTCCCACTTGCTTTTAAGAATTACATTATCAATACTTTTCTCAAGTCATTAAACTTTTGTACAAACCTTTTGAAATAGCTACAAACTATATTTAAACCATTAAGACATTATATTTAACTAACCTTCAAGTTAGATTCAGAATTTTTGATTAAAAAAAAAAAGTCACTAAGATGAACAATTTCACTCTCAAATCTTTGTCCTCATTTCAGATGATTTGCTCAGGAGAAGAGTGGAAGGGCTATCATTAAGCCCTGTAATACATGCGGTTCAAATTGCTTTTTAAAAAGCTCGTTTCAATTTGCACTCTCACGAGAGGATATGTGGCTTTTTATATTACCAAGACCTTGCTGGCAAAGTACCAGCACATATTCTAACAATGAGTATTTGTTCACTTGGTGGTAGGAGAAAAGCTATTGCAATGTATTTTAAAATTAGTTTTCACTTCTTTGATTATAAAATAAATAAGAAATTTTCATGTTTTTTTTTTCACTATTGTATTTTCTTTTGTACTTTATTTTTCTCTGGGATTTTACATTTTCTTATTTAGGTTAAAATTTTAATTTAAATCAATTTTCAGGGTTCATTATCTATTAATGATACTATCCATTCATCTATAGTATTTATGGCTTACCTATTTCCAGTTTGGCATATATTTCTCTATTTGGTTGATGTATAGATTACTTTAATATTTATGAGCTCAGATCCATTATCCTTTTCTTTTGCATTTTCTTTCATGGCTTTGATTCTTAGAAAGCCCTTCCTTCCCCTGTTAGAGATGAGATTCATATCTATTCCCTATGGTTCTATTATGGTTTCTTTTCTTTCACTTAATGCTATAGCTCATCTGAAATTCACTTTGGGATATGGCAAGCTGTTAGAATCTAAATTGTTTTCTTTTCCAAAGAGCTAGGCAATTTACCTAATTATCTTACAAATAATCCATTCACTGCCCACCATTTTCCAATGCTTCTTTATGTTTGATCTTACTTCGGTAACAAAAACAAACAAAACACCCCAAACCATGTTTTTTTATTTTAAAAAAGAGAAGACTTTAATAATTACTGCTGTGTGCCAGTTACTGTTCTAAGAACTCTACACATCGTACGTTTCATATTCCCAACAACCCCATGCAGTAAGCATTTTCCTTCCCCCATTTCACAGATGAAGGAATGGAAGCTGAGAGGAGCCCCCTGGGGTAGTGGGTTCATCCAGCAGGCTGGCTCCGGAGTCTGCATGACACAGACTGCCCCTGAAAGAAGCAAGCTTCCCTTTCCCAATTCCCGCTCAGGAGAGACATCTGGCCTGGACCCTGACGGTTTAAACTGGAGCTGATTACAATAGCCAAGATCTGGAAGCAGCCCAATGAATGAAAAAGCTGTGGTATATTTATACAATGGAATACTACCCAGCCATAAAAAAGGAAATCTTATTCTTTGTGATACATTGGTAGATCTCGGGAGCATTATGCTAAGTGAACTAAGCCAGATAGAGACAAGTACCATATGATTTCACTCATATGTGGAATGAATTTAATGAATAAAATGAACTAACAAGCAAATATAAACACTCATAGGCCCGGCTATGGTTCAGTGGTTGAGCATCCATCTATGAACCAGTAGGCCACAGTTCTATCCCTGGTCAGGGCACATACCAGGGTTGTGGGCTTGATCCCCAGTATGGGGAGTGCAGGAGGCAGCCAATCAATGATTCTCTCTCATCATTGATGTTTCTTTCTCCCTCTCTCTTTTTCTTCATCAATAAAAAAAAAAAGGAAAAGAAATGAAGCAGACTCATAGAGAACAGACTGACAGCTGTCAGAGTGGAGGGAAATTGGAGGGCTGGGTGAAAAAGGTGAAGGGGTTAAGCAAACACACACAGAGACACACACACACACACTCACACATCCTCATAGACACAGACAACAGCACGGTGATTACCAGAGAGAAAGGTGGGTGGGTAAAAGAAGGTAAAGGGGGGATAAATGGTGGTGGAAGGAAACCTGATTTGGGATGGTGAACACATCATACAATATACAGAACATGTATTATAGATCTGTACACTTAAAAAAACTATATAATTTTATTAACCAATGTCATCCCAATAAATTCAATAAAAATTAAAATAATAAAAGGCACCAAACCAGGCATAAAGGAGGAAAATTCACAGCTATAAAAAAGAGTAAACATGCTAAATCAAAGAATGGCTTGCTAGCTTCAGTCTATAATCAGAGATGGAGAATCTTTACTAATAATAGAAAAATATGCAAATTGACTGGGATGCTATCACAGTAACGGTAACGACCAAACAGCAGGCTTTGTGGGGCAACCAAGCCATCAGGGGGGATAGTGAGGGACAACCAAATAACTGAACAAACAGGCTGCGTGGGGCAGTCAGGCTGGTGTGGGGAGGAGGGGGGGCAGTTAGGGGCTACCAGGCCAGCAAGGGGGAAGGGGCGGGCAAGTAAGGGATGACCAGGCCAGCAGGGGGGGAAACCAGGCCGGCAAGGGGGCAGTTGGGGGTGACCAGGCCAGCAGGGCGGTAGCTGGGGGTAACCAGGTTTGCGGGAGGGGGCAGTAAGAAGGGAGCAGGCTGGTGGGGGGGTCAGTTAGGGATGATCAGGCCAGTAGGGGTGGCAGTTGGGGTGACCAGGCTGGCAGGGTGGGCATTTAGGGGCAATCAGACAGGCAGGCAGGTGAGCAGTTAGGAGCCAGTGGTCCAGGATTGTGAGAGGGATCAGGTCTAAACCAGCAGTCAGACATCCCCAAGGGGTTCCTGAGAGGGTACAGGCTGGGCTGAGGGGACCCCCCGCCCCATGCATGAATTTCATGCACTAGGTTTCTAGTGTGTGTATAAAAAGCACATATGTGTGTGTATAAAATTTATGTTTTTAGTAAAAAACAATATACACACACAAGAAAGAAGACCACACATCAAAATGTACACATTATCTATGCCTAGATACAATCCTGGCTACATGACTGATAGGCTGTAAAACTTAGGTAATTTAATTTCTCTAAGTCTCAGCTTTCTTGTCAATAAAATGGGAAAAATACTAGGACCTCATAAGGTGACAGTGAAACAAATTCATATGTAAAAAGCACTTTTAGAATAGTGCATGGAATTTTGAAAGCACCCAGTAAGCTTTTATTGCTATTAAAACTTTTCTAAAATCTATATTTATGACAGTAGCAATAAGAAAGAATTCAGGTGTAAGGAAGGTGCTATTTTCTCATCGTAGGAAATCCGAGAAGCATATCTGCACCCCCTTTTTTGGTGGTAAATGGCCCTGGGCCACACAGCATTGAGCCATGGAGAGCTCCAGTCTCCACCTCATTTTATACCCAACTTCCTAGTGAATGTCCCATGTACAGGTTCTAGGGGACTTCAAAATCAAAATGTTCCAAAAAGAACTCATTAGCCATTCCACACCACAGGCTGAAGGATGGCCCATGCCCCACTGTAACATTCCTTTTGTCTCTTCTACCAGTTGGGACTGCACCATCAAAATCCACTCACTGAATGAATGAATGAATGAATGAGTACATGAATGAATGACTCTGTTCCTTATTTTCCCCCATCAAAGCAATATACAATCTGTGGCTCAGCCATCCAAGCTGAGAGCATGTATGGTCTTAATTACCTCCCCGTATGCAATGGTGTTATTGTATCTTCTCATTTCTGGGTAAACGTGGTCCAGGTACCACTGGAAATTCTTACACTTCAAACTTTTCCTTAAGGCTCTTCTTTCAGAGACATCACCTATGTCGATTCCTGGGTTCTGAAAGCAAAGAGAAGCAAAGGGCATTAGTGACTGTGGTAAACCATTGGAGTGTTACCCTCGAGTAAACCATTGGAGAGAAATCTTAATTTCTCTGCAAGCTACTCGCAGTGTCAGATTTAAGGGCACCTATTTGATCATCTATCCCCAAACTAGACACTATTGTCCTCTGAGCACATCACAAGGTCCCCAAATCAGCTGCCCCAATTATTGCTGTTCGAAAGGGGTCCCGGGACACCTTATGTGGCACCCTGTATCCCCAGCTGTGCCTCTCCCACATTTTCTGAGTGACTATAGAGCCAATTATCAGAGGAATTATTTGATTAAGACAAGGAAATAGATGCCTCTACACCACCTCCTGTCTTTCTTTTTCTGCACAGGTATAATTTCCCCCTTTGTTGGCTCTTTGTGGAGTTCATTTATGCAGAAAGTGAAATAATTTTCCATCGCAAAGCTTGTAATAATGTCCTAATGAATAATTCACTCTGCTTTTACAGAAATGAACCTGTAATGGGCTGCTGTGTGCTGACAGGGAGAAATAAAGTAGCTGAAATATGACTCCACAGACTCAGCCACAAGATGGCCCTGAACTGGTGGATACAGGCTGCTCTCCACAGAGGCCACAGAGGCAGGGAAGCCACGCAGCATCTTGGGGGTCCAGGAGAGATCAGATGATTTCATTAAGATTTCTTCTTCAGCAGCCAAACAATGATTTCCAAAGGAACAGCCCTTTAAATGTCAGACATTAAAATTCAAAGGCAAGCCGGGGCTCCGATATTTAACTCTTTGTTTTAATATACTTAACATGCTTAACGAGAACGGTCCTTTGTGAAAAGTGTGGTGGGGGACTCTGGCGTTAGGGATCTGAGGTGGTTTGTGAGGATGGAGAAGGCATTGGGATAGTTGGCAGCCCTGAGACCTTAGGACTCAAAGTCACACCACCATTCTAGGTCACAGCTCCTTATCTGCAAAATGGGAAAAATAACACCTATTCCACTGACATCACAGGGTGTGGGCAGAGGTGAATGAAGACTGGACTTTGCATCCCTCCCTGCCACGTGCTATGTGCAGGACCTTAATAAACAAGTCCCTTTTAACCCCCAGAGCTGCAGTTTACCCATCTGTAAAATGGACATCACACTAGGTTCACATCAGGTTAGCATTTATGGAGCCCTTAATGTTTGCCATGCTCTGTTTCAAGCCTTATTTTTAGCTTCCCAGGAGCCCTAGGAGAGAAATATGAACAATCCCTGTTGTACAGATGAGGAAACCGAGGCAGATGGTTCCTAAGTCTTGAGGTTGTTTTGAGGGCTAAATGAGATATTACAAGTAAGGAACTTACCTAGCACCTGGGACCTAGTAAGGGCTCACCAAATGTTGCCTATCTTGATATCCTAACATGTAAAATCACTTATAATGTCACAGCTCAAAGCACTCCATTGCCCTGGGGGTTTTCAATACTGTAGAACCTTGTTTCCACAGTTGTAACAACAATGATATAAATGCTTCACTTTCATCCTCATTATCCACAGACTCTGCACACATTCAACTGCATTTCTGCTGTTTTGGGCTCCAGCTTCCTGAAACATGGAGGAAGCTGGAGCCCAAACATTCTAGGCAATCCTCTCAAGGGCATGGCTTGGACACCTGGCTGATGAGGTAAAGCCAGCTGTGGCTGGCGGTTCGGCTCACCCTGCTATGTGGCAGAGGACAAACCACACTCACCGACATTCCCATACCCCTGCCAGGCACTGCTCTAAGGATGCCACCGGTACTTAGATTTAGTACTTTAGATGTAGTTCTCACAACCACCGAGGAAGGAGGACCTGCTATGATCCCCATTGTATAGCTGAGAAACCCAAGGTCCAAAGGCTGTATAAATGGATTCATTCAAGATCTCATAACTAGTAAGTGGCAGGGCTGAGATTCAAAGGGCTGCAGCAACACTGGCATTTTCCTAGGCTACCTTCTGGGCAGAATATGGGGAAGAGCTGAAGAGCCATGTAAACAAGGGATTCAGCAGACAGTGGGGGCACATGTCACAAGGCAGCTGGAGCTCCACGGGAGGGCAAGCCGTTAGAGCAGATGACAGGGTCTGGTGCCAACGGTTTTGGGCAAGGACCTTCCGAACAGTGCATGTTCGGAAGCAGGACACCAGATGACTGTAATAAGACTGGGACTGACCCAATATACCCTTCTAGTCCTTGTAAATGGATTTTGAGGTTTCTGTTGTCACAGTCTCCCTGCACAGTGAGGGCTCCAAAACCTGGAGCTCTGTGGACCCCCTCAAAATGCGTTCATCATTTTGCAAGTCTGATCATCTTTCTGGGAAGGAAGCATCAGCTTATTAAAGGGGTCAATGTCCCATCCAACACAAAGATCAATGTTCTAGGGAGATGGGGAGGGTTTCTGGGCCCTACCTCCAGCGGCAGGTTCCACGCTATGTACACGTGAGACTTGTAATTGTCCATCCAGACCTCAGCCACCCGGAGAGCATTCCTCTTGGTGTAGAAACCGATGTTGCTATTGTATGGCTTCTTCTTCCGCTCGATGTGGGCCACCCGTGAGCAAGGCAGGACCTCCATGCTGCCCCCGCAGAGCCATACCTGGAGGTGCAAGGACTTCGTCAGCCTGAGAGAGACATTCCCAGAGGTCACTGCCCCTCCCCGAGGCCCCAAGGCAATGGCTCAGGAGACATAGTGGAAGTGAGAAATAACATGTTAACATATGAAGCCATATGAGATTTCAGGGTTGGTTTGTATCTGCAGCCCTAACCTAACCTAATTAAAACAGGTAGAAGAGATTTGGGGAATTTTTATAAATATGTCTAGAATATTCATATCCAGCTCTGGGTAAGAGTGACCCATCAAGGTGCTCCTGGGACACATGGCTTTCTCTGTTCTCAGTGGTGCATTGACATCCATGAAAATCCCCCCTCTCACTCCCCACTTCCTGTGTCCAGCAGATTTAGACTGGAAAATTCAAACTAAAAAACAGGCCATCTTTGTTCATATCAGCACAAAGTACCAGTACACAGGGGTCTAGTTCTGCATTGTTAATATGCTCCAATGTGGAGTCCGGAGAGCACAGATGCCCGGCATTCTAGAAGCATCCACCCCAATAAGATCATGTACAGGCATCACTGTTCCTGGAATAATCAGGTGGAAGGCTGACAGGATGGTTGTCTTCGAGAGATGCCAAAACTCAAGGAAGCGACACCTGCTGTTCTCTGCCTGGGCATGGCAGGCGTCCAGGCTCCCAAGCCCTGCTTCCAAGGGAAGCTGGACCATCCAACCACTCTCAGGCCCAGGCAGGAAAAACAAAGCATTTCTGATTGCCCAGAAGGATTACTTTGTGAAATGTCCTGCTTCTTGGGAAAGGAGGAAGAAGACACAGAGTAATTTCAGGGACCTGTGAGATGTCCTGCGGAGAGCTCCTATGTATTCCCCCATAAAGGACATTGTGCTGGTGAACTGACTGAGGTCAGCACACAAAGTATGCTCATTCCAGACGGGGTCATTTCAAGCCATTCTACCTGTAGTCTTTCATATATATATATTTCTATTGATTTTTTACAGAGAGGAAGGGAGAGGGATAGAGTTAAAAACATCGATAAGAGAGAATCATCGATCAGCTGCCTCCTGCACAACCCCTACTGGGGATATGCCTGTAACCAACATATGCCCTTGACTGGAATCGAACCTAGGACCTTTCAGTCCGCAGGCCGACGCTCTATCCACTGAGCCAAACCGGTTTCGGCATGTAGTCTCTCCTTGAGTATCTGTCCAACTCTCCTGGTCCTTTATTGATTAAATTTGGTGGCAAAATTCATATGTGTGTGATCCTCTGTTTCTATTTCCCAACTCTGATTATCTCACAGGGAAATCATATACCTCTGGAACATTTGCAGACAGTGGTGCTTCAGACTAATTTGATTTGGAACCTGGTAACTAGGTGTCCTCTTTGGTTGAGACAGACGCGTTAGAAGGAAGCCAAGTCAGGGAGGCAAAGTATCGCAAAAGATCTGTGGGGAATAGGGGAAAGACACCCTGAAGGGTAAAACAAGGCAGCTGAATTTCTAGGGTTGAGGAAAGACACAGAGTTCCACAGTTATGTGGCATTTGATAGTTTCAATATTCAGGGGGCTCTGGCTAAGTAGCTTGGTTTGTTAGAATGAGCCAAGGTTGTGGGTTTGATTCCTGGTCAGGGCACATACAAGAAACAGCCAATAGGTGCATAAATAAGTGGAACAACAAATTGATGTCTCTCTCTGTCTCTGTCTTGTTCTCTCCCTCCCTCCTTTCTTTTATCCCTCCCTTCCTTACTCTCCAGTCAATAAATAAATATTTTTAAAAAAGATTCAGGAAATAAATGAAAAGACACTCGTGTTCACCAATGAGAAAAGTTAATATTGTTAGGATGGCAATACTTGTCAAACTGATCTAAAGATTCAGCTTTCAACAAGGGTGCCAAGACAATTCGGTGGGTGGGTGGGGGGAGAATAGTCTTTTAGTTGTGTTGGACAACTGCAAAAGAATGCCTTTGGACACTACCTCTACGAAAATTAAACTGTAAATAGATCAAGGACTTAATAATGTAAGAGCTAAAACTGTAGAACTCCTAGAAGAAAATACAAGAGCCTATTTTCATGACCTTGGATTACACAAATCTTCATCAACTGATGAATGGATAAACAAATGTGGTATATCTATACAATGGGATATTATTTAGCAATAAAAATAAATGGAATACTGATATATGCTTTGATATGAACAAACCTTGAAAACATTATGCTAAATGAAAGATGCCAGTGACAAAGAACCATATATGGTATGATTCCATTTACATGAAATGTTTAGGATAAGAAAATCCATAGAGACAGAAAGTAAATTGATGGTTGCCTAGGGCTACTAGGGGTGGGTTTGGAGAAAGGTAGAAAGGCTGCTGGTAGGTATGATGTTTCTTTTTAAGGTGAACAAAATGTTCTAAATTTGTGTTGATCATTGTACAACTCTAAATATACTAAAAAGCCACTGAGTTGTACACTTTAAATGGGTGAATTATAATGGTATGTAAGTATCTCAACAAAGCTATGACAAAGTAAAGAAATTGATAGGAAGACAGATAAATAAGTCCACAAAGAGATGGAGAAAAGAAATTCCAGAGTTGGATTCCGCGTTGGGGAGGTTCCGAACAACTGAGGAAAACCAAGAAGGGATGGGTACAAGCAGGGATCACAGGTGCAGGTATATGAAAAGCCTCAGCAAAAGCCAGGAACCCAGTTCCAAGAACAGAGCCACCAGGTGGGAACAGAACCTGCAACCAGGCCTGTTTGGTGCCAATCCTTGGTAAGCTGCCCAGATCAAGGTCAGTTTTGCTCCAAAGCCCAAAGTGCAATTTTGCTCATGAGAAGGCTCAAGTGGCCTTGTTAGAAGTAGAGGTGAGAAGAGAAGAGGAATCAGGTTGTACCCTGTGTCATATCCCAAATCTCTTAAGTGACCAGGGAGAGATGATGTCCCAGGCAGAGATGCAGGCAATGAAATACTCCTGTCCTGTGTTGCATGAACCTGGCTTCCTGTGCTGGGCTCTGGCATGTAGATATGAATTGGCTTGCTCAGTGAGAACCAATGCACAGCCACTTGGCTCTTCCTGTATAGTCTGGGGTGGGGCAAGGGGCTCTCAGAATCTGTTGGACCCAGAAAAGAGAGTGAATTACCATGGTAGGTACTGGCCCATATTCCTAGTCTCTGTCTGGAGAAGCCTGGGTGTCAACTGATAGATGAATGGATAAATAAGATGTGGTACATATATACAATGGAATACTACTCATTCATAAAAGAGAATGAAATCTTGCTATTTGCAAGAACATGAATGGATCTAGAGGGTATTTTGCTAAGTGAAGTGAGTCAAACAGAGAAAGTCAAATACCATATGATTTCACTTATGATTTCACAACAAAAAACCCCCACACCAAAAGAATACACAAAACAAAACAAAAACAGATCCATAGATAAATAAAACTAGATAATAGTTTCCAAAAGGGAGGGTGGTGAGGAGATAGGTAAGAAAGGGGGGAAATGGGAGAGAGAGAGAAAGAGAATGAATCACAAGACTCTAGGTCCTAAAAAGTCTTAAACAAAACATATCTCTTCTGCTTCAGAACAATTGATGCCCTGGAAGAAGAGGACATTATGGGAGAGGCATGCCAGTGGGCGGGTGGCATTGGTATCTCTGCCAGCATGAAAATGGGAGAGAGAGAGAGAGAGAGAGAGAGAGAGAGAGAGAGAGAGAGAGAGAGAGAGAGAGAGAGAGAGAGAGAGAGAGTCTTCAAGGGTGTGCTGGTTTAATTCCATCTGATGCATGTTTCTTTCATTCATTCAACTCATACCATTTAATAAATATTTCACTAAGTCCTTAGAGCCTTAAGGATTGTGAAAGTTTGTCATCAAAGTAGGAAAAGTTGGTATTCCCAGAATTACCCCTCGATCTCAGCCTGGTCAATGGTCTCCCTGATTGTCCTCTATATTTTCTCAGATGAAGTCTCCCGTCTTTCCTTCAAGGACTGGATGAAAAATTGTCTTACATTGCTGGTTCCAAAGCCTGGATGTGCCTTTGAAGCACTAAGAGAGCTTTTAAAAATTATAAATGTCTGAGTCCCACCCCAGACCTAAGAATCTAATTCTTGTGGGGTAAAACTGGGTATTTAAAGAGTTTCCTGACTTTATGTTGTGATGTGTAACCAGGTGTGGGAACCACTAGCCTAGGGCTTTTCTGAGGCTGTGGTGTTATGACTCTATATCACAGGGGCTGAAAGAAGCTAGGCTGTGCCTGGCCAAAGCCGGTTCAGTCTGGTAGTGGTTCCAGGTGTTGACAAGAGGCAGGGCATCTAATGTGCCAGGTGCTGCCCAGCTCTCCCAGGGCCTCTGTCACTGAGGTCAGCAAGGGAGGAAAGGGTGGGAGCCTGAAGCCACTGCCAGGTGCAGGTGAAGAGCTGTGGAGGACGCCAAGGAGTCAGAACCAACGTGACTGGTTTGCTTATATCATTTATTCCTATAGGCAGTGGCCTCCAAATGTTTTTGATATTCATTCTCCTCTGGGAAAAAAATTAAAGTATATCCTTCAATATGTTTAGTTTATCCATTTTAAATGATATGCACATGCTACTGTACTAATATATTTTACACATGATAAATTAACATATATATAGAAATTGAAAATGATATGAAAAGGGAAGCATTATTATATTGCTTTTGTACCCCAGTGGATTTTCTTGTGTGGCCCACTTCAGAAACCACGTTAGGAATTCAAATATTCAAGGTCAAGTCTTATCTCCCCTCCCCCCCCCCCCCGCCCCCATTTTAAGAGACCAGTTGTTTATCTTGGGCAGCAGGAAATATTCAGGAGTGAGGAGGTTTGGGCCACAGTAACCTAGTGAGAATTTTCAACTTTGTCATTGAGAGCCATGATTACTTAAAAGCCATTTTTCAGAGATGCTCCAAGAACCCCCAGGGACACTGCAATTCTGGAAAGAGCCTCCGATGCTGTTACAGGAGGAAGCCCAGAGCCCTCTCCCCACCCCGCACCACAATCATTCAAATTGAACTGG